AATGATTTCACATCGGAATCATATTGTTGTTGGACAAAAAAAGTTAAATAATTTGAATTTCAATAATTAATTACATAGCGCTTTATTGAGCTTTTTTGAACTGTTCCCCAATGGGAAATGAATTTCTCCTACAATCCTTTCATTATTTACTTTGGCTTTTTCAGTGGACCGCTCCCTGAGCAACGACAGCTGAGTTTGGTTGGGTAACACCCAAACGGAATTTTGATTAAAAATGTTTTTAGATATAAGATAACATTTAGTCTCGACTTTGCCAGACACACACGCACAGCTCCGACTGCGACGCCGGATCTGGTTAGCAATCGCAGTCGCAGTCGCAGTCTTTGTCTCCGCCTCGACTGTTTTATTGCTTGCTAGACGCCGGTTTGTGGGCGTGGCTATTTGTTGTTTTCTATAAAGCTGTTAAATACTTAAGTGTAATTTATGGCATGCGATATTATTCGGGTGTGCTGTCATGTTTGCTAAAAGTTTTACATATGCCCAGGCGCATAACCGAAGCAAAAACCAAACCAAAAACTTAAACCGAGTCGACAAGAACTCGATGTATCTGCAGGATACACTCCGTATTATGGCAAACTTAAGCCGTTGTGCCAACACACAAAATTTCTTATGCCGCCCAAGACACACACACACACACATACACACCCACACTCACACACATGCACATAGAGGAAACTGTTGTAGTCTGGGGTCTCGACCCCAAACCTAGGCAGGCAGTTAGTCAACTTGTCGTCGTTGTCGTCCTGCTCATCCTCGTCAAAAGTTCTACACTCACTTCTAATAATTCTTTGCATATTTTCAGCTGGTTTCAAGTGGCTTGTTTTGTGGCTGAGCTGTGGGTCTGTGAGTCTATTAGATGTTAATAAATGAGCAAGTTATAGACAAGTTGTGTTATGCCTTGGGTGCTGTCATGTGGCATGATAATGTTCACAGATTGACATTGGGCCAAGTGGATTAAAACCCATTACCAGTATCTTAGATTGTGGCTCAATAAAAAATACGACAAATATTTCTTGCAATAAATATTAATATTAGTTCAGGTTTATTTTATGGTAAGTCAAATGGTCGGGAAAGCATATTTTATGCATATTTTATATATATATATATATATATGTATATATTTGAAAATTGGCAAATAGGCAGTCGGATAGGTCATACGGTTTATAGAATCGGATGATCTTTTCTATCCCTATCTAAATTAAATTCTATGCATACGAGGCTTACAAGTAAAATACTTATCTCAATTACTTACTCATAAAAATCATTGTTAGTTATTCCAAAATATTGGGGGACAACAAAAAATTGCAGCAGTATAATATTTATAATAACATATGAATTTATCAGATCTTGATAATTTTATTAAAAAGCTTTACAATTCCGCGGCAGTGGTCTCAATCCATTGTCTGAGAGAAGCAACATCAGCATAGACACCAGGATAGTCAGTCTTGGCGCAGCCATTGCCCCAGGACACAATACCAACCAGCTCGCCATTGGCGACCAGTGGACCGCCAGAGTCACCCTGGCAGGCATCCTTCTTCTCGGTATAGGCACAGACCATTGTGTCCAGAATCTTGTCCTGACCGTAGGAATAAGTGTCAGAGCCGCAGTCAGTGACTGACAGCAGATCGACCTCCACTTGCTGCAGGGTATTGGGCGATGAGCAGAACAGGAAACAGGTGGTGCCCCAGCCGGTGACAACGGCAGGTGTGCCGGATGGAGGCGTAACCTTGGCCAGCTCAATGGCGCGCAGCTTGGCCGTCTGGCGCACAGGGGAGCTTAGCTTGATCACAGCCACATCGTTAATCATGAGTTTGCTGTTGTAGCCCTCGTGGAATTTGAATGTCTTAACGCTGACGACCTCGCCGCCCTCGTTGCGCTCGGTGGCGCCCAGACGCACCTGGATCTCGGAGGCCTTATACGACTGCATGCAATGGGCAGCAGTGACAACGGTGTCCGAATTGATCAGACTGCCGCCGCAGAAATGGGAGCCTTTGGTGGTCTGAATGGAGACCTGATAGGGATGGGCCTCGATGGTCGTTGGCTCGCCATTCACGATGCGGCCAAAGGGAAACTCCGTGTCCGGCAGGCCCTGGCAAGCGGCGATGCACGCCAAAACCACAACGAAACTCACAATCAATCGGTTCATTTTGTTAGTAATTACTAAACTGAGCAGCAATCGGTCCACATTGCTTTTATACCATCGGTATACATGGTCAAAAGCAAATATTCTTATCGGCTTTGGCCAGTCGTGTTGTAAATCACGGGACATCTATCGTAAGGCTTTGGAAGCACATAAATTCTCGGAAGGCTTCACAGGTCTACAGATTAGAGTTAGGGGCAGCACGCGTGCTATTATATTTAGCCCAAGACACTAACTATACACGTAAGATCGCTTTACTTGGGAGTGCCCAGCTTGGGGATACCCTCATAGATACCAGCACATACACAGCACAGAAAACAATACAATTTCAATTGCAACTGTTTTTAGAATAAAAAAAAAAAATATTCAAAAAAGAAACTATATTTAAATATCAATTTTTATCGTTTGCTTCAAAACGGAGCAAGTTATCCGATTATAGAAAACAGAGAGTACCTAAGTTCAAAATTTCATGTCTTATTGATTCTGCTCATCCATGAAAATTATACTTTATGCAGTCAGAGTCTGTCTGTTACATACATTTTGTGAAAATCACACATTTTCAATGAGTCTAGGGTATTAAACGAGCTTAATAATTATAAATTAAAAACACGAGAGATATCAAAAATATCGCGCGACTGAACAGTAAATCTTTATGGACTACGCACTTAAGTCAATCAGTTACGATCGCGATCTATAATTAAAAAACAAGTTAAGAAAACACAGAAGGGTTATCAATATGAATACAGATTTGGCGAATGATTAGGCAAACTCTTATCAGCATTGGGTGGCCCTTTGAACACATTTGAAAAGGTCAAGGCTAATCAAAAAGAAGAAACACTGCTGCAGTTGAAAAAGTTCGAGTACTATTTGTCAATTCTAAAACATTTCCACAACTATAATAAATACGGAGGATATTTATCCGAAGTATGCTACCCACACTGACTGATTTTTTGATCAAGAGCCCTGAAAATCCCTTTAAAAAAATATATGTATTCTATCAGAAATTGCTTTTAACATTTTCAAGTTCAAATTCAACTGATTTGATTGAGCTTATGCTATACATAATGATAAATGTTCTCCGTAACCAGCATATGTAGCTCATGTTGTTATCTGGACGCGTTTCTGATGAAATCTCTGAGGGACAACGGCAATCAGTGCACATAGAACACAGAGCTTTATCTTATCAAGTGACTGACAAAACCAGCGAGTAACTTGCCACAAAATATTGGACATGCGACGACGCCAGGGTTGGGCTGTGAGTCGAGGGCGCCCCACAAGATAAACGTCGACCAGTTGAGCTGACCAAGTAAAGAATTGTGGCAAAAAGTGAACATGACCATGAATTTCAGCTGCCAAAGTTCATTTTTAATTTAACACACACAAGAAGAAAAAAATAAAGAAAAGAAGCGGAACAATCTATAAGCCCGCAGCACACAAGAGCTCTACTCCTTCTAGGCGGTGGGTGGAAGGATTGGGGGCAGTTGCATAGTACTCGCAGTTGTGCGCTCAAAGTTGTTGATATCTATTACTGAAGATTTGAAGTTGTTCGCCGGCGTCTTAACTCACTTAACTCGCAGGACGTCGCACGTCGAAGCTGGCGGAGTGAAAGACTTAAAGACAGTTGCCAGTTGAATGGAACTGACTTCAAGCTGTGCGAGCTAGCTTCCAGCTTGAATTGACAGGGCAAAGAGAGGCGCACACACTCACACACGCACACACACACATGACATGACAGCTGGTTGGTTTGGCTGCTTTAAGGAACTGGGGGGAGTGGGTGCCACCGAGGGCACGAGGCACGTAGCGCACTGCAGTTAAGATTTGGATTTGGTTTTGCCAGCTCGCTGGCTGAGCATATCAAAGGAAAAAACTACAAAACACTTATCTGGGTGACAAATAGAAAAGCGGGCGCCGCACAACCCAACAAGACGCCAGCATAGCAGGAATAATATCTCCGAGTAGATTAAAAAGAAAAAAACAGCAGAAGAAGCAGCAACAGAAGAAACCGTGCAGCTCGAGAAAAACAGAAAAGAAACCGAGTACCTACCCACAAAGCAAAAAATGACGCAGGTTGTCGTTATAATAAAAGCGCCACAGCAAGTGTGTGTGTGTGTGTGTGTGTGTGTTATGCATGTGCGTAGGGTACATGGGACAGGTGACCGGCCAAGGCTACACACATGTGTATACACAGACATGTATGTGTGTGGGCTAGACAAGCTGCGGGCGCAGCGTCTATGTTTGCCATTTTGTTTTTACTATTTACTTTTATTTACTATTTACCAGAGTAGTCAAGACGTTGTGACTTAATTTGATACTCTTCAAAAAAACGGCACACGAGTACACTTCATAATAAAAAAGGATAATATTCGAAATTTCTTCACTATCCAGATAAAGGTTGAGCTGAGAGTACTATGTTGTTACAGCTATATGCAAAATGATATCAAAAAAGCATTAAGTGATGAGTTTCATAGAAAACAGACAAACAGACTTCGATTATTATAAAATTCTTTTTACAAATATATTCTTATATTCAAAAAACGTCTGCTAAAAATTGGTAAAATAATTATTGGTTCTTTTGTAATCCATAATTGATTTTACCTATATTCGCTCGCCCTTGAGAAAATCAAAATAAAATCTAAATCAGAATTTTAAATAACAAATATAATAAGTACATATCTCTGAAATTGACTTTGAAGCCAAGCACATTCCTGCAATTTCCTCCTCGTAGGAAAATTTGGATCAAAAAAAAATTAATATCGATTGCTTTTAAATAATATAGTTAGCTATAATCCGACAAATTCTATATAAATACTTAATATATATAAACTATTTAATTAAAACTCACCAGTTATTAGCTCTGCAAGGGAGTTCAAGATTCACAATGAACATATTTCCTATATCATCTTCTTGTTAATATTTGCAAGACGGGAAAACGGCGACTTTATCTTAACAAGATCTAGTCAGGACCCAAGAGTTCTTGAGCTGTTGTTGTTGCATGCCATTCCGGTTGCCATTTCCTATATCATTTAAAATCATTTTGCTGGGTTTGAACTGAGCTTTGCCTTTGGCCTGGCGCACATTCCTTTAAGGATTTCGTGTATTTGTTTTGTTTCTGTGTCGTGTCTCATGTGTGCGGATTTGCTTTCTTATCGGTTTCGTGTGGCATGCGTCTTAGTTGCACGCGCCAAAGTTCCTCTAAGAAGAGCAATCGGAGCCAGAAGGAGCGCAATGTCAAGTGGTTAAGCGGAAGAAGCCTTGGCATAAGCAATGCAGAAATCTGGGATTAATTTAGCGATAAGTCCATGAGCTGTAAATAAGCATGGAATCGTTTGCATTTTATCGGCTTATTGTTTTTATAAGGCATTGAAGAGGAGGTATTTCAGATATTTTGTATATGGATTAATAGCATGCTAAGTTGGGCCATTTAATAAATTATAGAAAACTTGTCATGCAAAATATAAAATATACAAATGTATTGGACTTTTGTACAAATCAAATATGCTATAGAAAATTTGATTGAATGAGGTAGGCAAAATAAACTTAACGTAACATTTCGTGTTTTTATATGTTTGATGTGCATTTATTATATTTTTGATTCATTGTTTACGTAAATTGATACCCAAAAATATATTTTATTTTAAAAAAGCAGTTAAAATTTCTCCTTTATTTAATTTTTTGCTCTGATGCAGACCTTTTATGATTCTAAGTAAATATGTAGACATTTTTTAATAAATAAATAAATTTATATGTTTAGAGCTATTTTTCAAGATTCTTCTGCAGCCTATCATGAGTTAAAAGAGTTACCTCTAAACTGAACTGCAGACTCTTTAAAACCATAAAAAAGTATATCCCATCTATGTGCGTAAACAATTTATATAGCAAAAATGCGTAGATCATATCACGTGGACATAGTGTTAAGCCGTATAAAAAAATACTTTTGAAAGGGATTTTTTTATTTTCATGGTTTTTGTTTTGTCATGGAATGCATAAAAACGTGGCCGTAAAAGAACAACAACAGCAGATTAATTTGTTATTAAATTACAACATAACAATATCTAATTTCAATGCGAAATGCGGGGGCGTGGCACGTATTGTAAAATCTCATGTGCTTGTGTGTTCGGGTATGTATGTTAGAATAGGATCCAAGGGGAGATCCCCTCCCAGGGGTAACCATTGTTGCCAGGCCGCCTACACAGCCAGTCGGCCTATTAACCACATTTTAAGCATAATTGAATTTTGTGCATAAATTTCGGTTTATGGGACGCTGGGAGACCACGACCCGGGCAGATTATTACATTATTTACTGTGCAGAGTCGGCAAGCAGACAGTTAGGTTAGAGTAAGGAGGGTGCATGGCACGTTGGCCAGGCGATGTGGGACTATAGGCCAGGTTGTTTGGGCAGACGACAGGGCATCAATTTTATATGATGCTCGCTGGGTCGATTCAACGGATTGGTCTTGGCTGCCTGCGGAGCGGCTCCGACTGCCGCTGAAAGCCGAAAAATATTTATTAAATTTGCTTTTTATGACACAGACACACACACACATACAAAAAACAAAGCGCTCCACAAAATGTTGCCAAAGTGTTGGCAATTGCGTGCAGTCAATGTCCCTTATTAAACGCTGTCAGGGGTAGTCCACGAGGTTGCTAAGCCCTGATAGGAATTATGGATATTATATAAGCAAAAGCTGATGATTTTACCATGCTAAATTACAACTATTGCATAAAAACCCAAAAAATTTTAAAATCGTACAGGTAGGTTAAAAGAGGGAAAGATAATGTATGCCTTTTTACTCGCAGTTTTAATCCTGATTTCGCTTATTCAATTTTATATTCTCAAAATGTTTTCCGATTATGGCGAATCGGCAAGATTAAAAAAGAAAAGGTCATCAAATAACATGCAAAAAAAAAAAACACACATTGATTGGGTTAAATTAAATAATATTTATAATTTAATTAAGATAATAAGTTAATGTGCATATTAGTTATTGTCCTTTATTTGATATATAATTATCCCAAGTTTATTGATTGCAAAAACACAAGTGTGTGCGGAAATATACTTATCGCAGCACATCATTTTAAGTACACCTTCGTATTACTGGTTGAGACATACGGTTGAGACAATGAATATTAACATATTTTCCTAATTCGAAATGGTTCTACAAATCTTTAAATATAATTATTCTCAAAGTTTAATTGTTTTCTTTTTTTTTAATTTGTTTCGCACTCAATAATTTTTAATATACTATTTGTCTTTAAATACTTATTGATATTATAACACCCGCTGATGGTGCCTATTCGATTACAAATGCCTCTCAAATGAGTTTTGCTTTTAATATAATTTTTGGTATTTGCCAGTTGAATCTGATTCTGAAACATAGTGCAAATGTTTATTGGCAGTTTTTTACCCGAGACGAGTGTCTGCCCAGGTTCACTATCAGTCAGAGAAAGAAAGCAGAAAAACAGGCAGCACATCAACTTTTTATTAGCTGGAAAATAAACACGGAAAACAGCAGAGATCAAGGCAGAGCGCGCGGCAGGGAATTGGAAAAAGTGTGGAAAACACGAAAATAAACAGGCAACATAACACAAAACGCAAACAAAGGCGGCAAGAGTTAAGTTACAAATATTTACGGCCCATTCCATCTTCCCCACTTCAACCAAGCCGTCCGACATCTAGGCTGCTGTTATTTGCCATTTGGTAAGACACGGCCAAGCAGCGAGTAAATGTTGGCTTGGCTACGCAGCGAAAGACCTTCCCCAGCGCGACTTAATAAATCTTTTTAAAGTACGCGCCGAATAGCTCTAAAATATGTTATTTTATTTTAGTAAGCTGCCTTTTTCTTTTTGGCTTAGACCCTTTATTTTAAGGGACTAAAATGCAACTATATTGCCCAATTCGACCCGTCTAGCGCATTTTCGCTTTACATAAATATATTTCTGTTTTTATGCTTATGTCTTCTCCTTTCCACAACATGTAAATAGCGTCGCATTGGGTAATCTATGGATTTTGGGTTTATGAAAATAATGACAAACTAAGTACACTAAGCAATAATGCTTGATCCGAAAATCGATGGATTGAATTGCCTCAAGGATAAACCCAGTTGATTTATCGTGCCTAGAACTCATCCAAAAAACCCTAAGGTATGCCAGATAACAACATTTTAAAATAATATAAATTATCCTAAATTCATCTTTTGTTTTCTTTTTTGAAAAATTCTCAATATAAAAGGAATTATAAACTTATAGCTATATATTTTTTACACTTTTAGCTGTGGACAAATTATTTGGTTTTACTGGATACCCTCAATAATTGTTTTGCCCTATCTGAATTCCGAATTTCTTATACTTAACAAAAATGCCCAAAAGTATGCCGACATTAATACGACATTTAAACTAAAGATTTGAACGTTTAAGTGAATTTTCAGAGAATTGAAATAAAAATATTTCGTTTTTTAAATATCAATAATACTTATAAAAATATTGGTAATTGACAGATAAATAAATAGGGCTACTGCGATACAGTTTTAACCAGTAAATCCTTGCAAGAAATTATTAATTGAAACCAATTCGAAGTTCGCGGCATTCACAATAAATAGAGACATTTATTATGGCAACTTTTTGTTTCTGTCTGCGCAAGAACCCTCGAAGTTCCTTTGGATCTCATCCCAACGAGTGAAACCGTTCAGCTGCCACATAAATTTGTGGTCCCCATTCAATTTAGTGCCTTGCGCTCGATTTCATTGGCCTTTTTGTGGTAGAAGCCAGGTTCGGGGTTCAGTGAACAGACAAAACTGTGGTCAATAGCCAATACCAGAGGAGATGGGCAAACAAGGCGAACTTGGCGATTGCTTCTGGTACTGTGGCAGCTAAAACAAATTATCAAATTAGTTTGTTTTGTGGCCACTTTTACTAGCTGTTTAGCACATTATTTGGCTAAGACAATTGTTTTGGGGGCTAAAAACAAATATGAAAAACGAAATAAGAAAAACCATACAATGATTAATTGTGTTTAATGGACAGCTTAAGTGTGAGTTAAAAGGCGCATAAATTAATGCTGGGGCCTTTTCTAAAATTAAAGAACTTTGATTAGCCGCAATTACCGATAGGGGGCTTTTCCCAAGACTCTGCAGACTGGAAATTATCTCAAAACAACGGCATATTGATATACCACTTGCTCTATCTTATCGGCGCGTACGTGAAAGAGCTCAAAAACCAAAAGCGTCTGAAGTGATTTCAGGTATTCCCCAATTGCGTGCTCACAAATTTATTCACTTGAATCGAAAGTGGGTTAGTAAACATCTAAATAATCAAGACGAATCAGTTTTAACTCAAGTTCTGATCTTATTTATTTAATTAAATCTATATTAAAAATGTGTTTTCAATTTGACTTTGAAAAAGACTTTTGGTATTTTTAACAAGAGAAGAATCAAATCCGATTGAGACGGTTATTAATCGATCATAAAGTAGTTTTATGCCAATTATGGCGTTGTTTGTAGTCGGCTTATCAAATTCGCAATCAAAAATAAATTTTTCCGTGACAATTTTTGATTAAATGGAACTTTATCAACGTAATTAAAAAACAATTATTTTTTTAATTGCATAGTTAATTTGGGAATTGTTGTATAACAATTTATTATATTGTAAGAAACGATTTTTAGCTAAAGTATTTTTATTAATAATAAATAAAATACTGCTTCTAAGCTTTGCCTGACTCTAATAAGCTTTAAAGTATGAAATGCTAAAAATATTGCAATAACATTTTGATACCAATCACTTTCCTCGCTGGTTGACCCACTTCGTGGGGCGCGTCTCCTTTCACCTCAGACGCCAAATGACAATACGAACTTTCCACGTGGGATGTCATTACTTAGAGTGCAACTGAGGACCTTTGGCCAAGGTCTATGCCAGTTGCCGTGGGCGTTTAGTGTGCACACACACTCAGCATTTAAGTACATATGCGCGTCATATCAGATAGTCAGCAATATACGATTATGATAAGCCAATTTTACTTTAAACACAAATGGAAACTGACAGCGCCATCAATCAAATTGCACAATCGTCTGATTGATTGATTAACGATAAGTGTATTAAACAATTCTTAAATATGCGATATGATATATCCTTTTGCTGCGGCTTAAAGCAACACACATATCATTTAGCCATTGCGCTTTTGATGTTCTTAAACAATATTTGGTCGCGTATCTGTGATATGGATAGACATATCCATATATACATATGTACATGTTTATTTAAAGCGCACGATGTGCTTTCACACTTGCGATACCCTAGATAATATAGGTCTTACATGTGTTGTTGAAGTATATTTTCCATTTTCTTTTTAAAATATTGCCTAAATAAAAATACAATTATTTTACAGAAACGTTGGATAATACTTTTTAAGTATAGTTTTATATTTTCTATATGTATAGCACTCACAAATAGTGCTGTAAAACTATCGAAAGTAGTTCTAGAAGGGAATTTTGAAAAAAAAAATATAAAAACCTTTGACAACAAACGATTTAAACAATCAATTTTTTAAATAAATCGTAATAAATGTAGTATATAAAAATTTAAATAAATTTTATTATTTCTTAATTGTAAATTAAAAGTATAGTTTATAATACTAAAGATGTCGATCCTTTCGATACTAAAAAATAATCGATTGTTACAGCTCTAAAGCGATTAACTGTGCTATGGACAGAGGATTTTTTTATTATTAAATATCTTATCTCAGTGTCAAAAAACCTACACTAGCTTATAAATGTTTCGAGCCCAAACATTAGGACGTTTTTGATTTTAATTCTAATATTCTAAAAATTTAAATATAAATAATATGTTAATTAATTTCCATAAAGTCGTATCGACAAGCTATAGACGCAACGCTAGATCACAATTTAAAATACCGCCACGTAATTTAAACCAGGATATCTTGTGGTCATATCCTTGGCATGTTCTCACTCTCTGTTGGCTGTTCTGTTGTTCCTCCACTTCCGCTCCTTGGCCTCGGTAAACATGCTACGCCTGGGAAGCTTTGCACTTGAGCAGGTTTCTTTTGTCGCGACTCATGCGACTGCGAGCCGCCATATATTTCTCATGAATGAGCGCGTACAGCTCCTGCTGAAAGTATCCGTGCTGCGGCTCGACATTCATGTAGTCACGTCGTATTTGCCTGTCCCGGCACCGGAACTCGCGCCACAGCCCAAGCAGTGCCAGCCACTTTTTGTCAATAAAGTCCAGAGTCTTGCGCTCGAACGGTGATTTCTTATAGTTGGTAATCGCGTGTAAGATGAAATTTGCATTGATTTGTTGTTGCAGCGCCAAATGGTCCAGCACCTGGAGGCCGCTCGGTGGCCAGGACATTTGATTAAAGGGAAAACTGGGCCCCAGCTTTAAGGCAGCAACATTCGGCATTTCTTTGTTGTTTAGTTTTATATATATCTTTGTTACTTTAAAGTTTCTTTTCACTTCTTGCACTTCACTTGTAATTTATAAAAAATTGTTATTTTTATTGTTAAGTTTTATTCTTTGTTGTTATTCGACAACAAAATATTTTATTGTTCTTCTGTGCACTTGTCTTGCAGTCTCCCGGTCTATTTTATAATACTAAACCGTTGTGTGTGGTGGCTTGCGCTTTTATATATAGCATCGAGTTGATAAAATGTACAAAAAGTTTTTTATGGAAATTCCGGCCTGATAACTCGTAGTGAGCTAGCTCTATGGAAAATTGCGCGTCATCGACGTAGGTGTTAACAGTACCTGACGCTACTGAAAGCTACCGAAACGAAATGAGTGGACTCTAGACGTTTACGTAGTACATGTACTATGTATAAACGACTAGATTTTTATTGCGAAAATATAACAAAAATATCTACATGTTAGTGTTAAGTTGTTATTAATTCGACACAATAAAATAAATATTATTATAAGAATACTTTCAATACTTTGAAAAAAAGGCTGCCTGTCTTTAGATTCCTTGTACGAACTTCAATTTTTGCACATACGAAGCAGACTTTTGACAATCTGAACTGAACTGAATTTATTTCAAGTTGTTCACTAAACTTCACATCTACCAAGAATCGGTCTATATCTATAATTTCACAAATGCATTAGTAGAGGTTTAAGGTATTCTTGCTGGATGACTCAAATAATTGTTGTATTTAACCAAATTATTTTAAAAGAAATATGGTACGATTGGGCTATTGTTGGCAAATAGTAGCTGTTAAAGATCGGTTCATATTAAGTTATATATTGAAATCAAGAATTTGAAACGGTTTGGCGCAAATCCGCTGCGCACTCTTCCGCTACCCCCTTACAAATAGTTAAAGCTTACTAAACATACGATTTCTCGTCAACATATTAAATATTATAATATACTTTTTAAATTGATTCAAATAATTTCAGTTGTCATTAATGTGATATACGGAAAATCTACAAAAAGTTAGCAGTTCGTACGAGTGCAGCGTTTTATATAAAGAATAGTTTTTATAACCGATATTGGCTTAAGACTATGGCAAAGTGTAATAATATAATTATTTTATAGGATCAATACAAAATTGCAGTTTTCCCAGTGTATACCTATCCGTTTCAAATAAAAAAAAAAATTATATATTTACGAACATATCATTTGTCTTGTATATGTGTATAGAGAGAGATTAAGATAGAGAGATAGACAAAAGTACGTAATATGTGTATTTGAACATTTTTTTTTTTAATTTTAATGCCTCATAAGTATAAGTATAAGTATAAGTATAAGTATACTCCCACTAAATGGAAACGCCCCTTAAAAAAGTGCTGGTAACCACACAGCACTGACCACACACCCTGCACCATAGTTTGGTCAATCATTTTGGCCAATTGTTGAGCAGCCGTAAAACAATTGTTTATCAAATCACGCATAGGAGGCCGAGCTGCTGTTTTTGATTCATGACGATTCAATGTGCGATGTGTGCTATCAAGAATATTGCTCGCTAAGCATGATATGCCGCAGCACACACGCACCCACGCACACACGCGCCCCCACACACACATTTATACACACAGGCAGTCATACACACGCACAACCCATCAGCAATTCACTCGTTGCGCGGCTGGCGCATTAGCCTATTCAACAAAATCGTTAGCCAGTCAATGAACACAATCGTTAAGCATTACACTAGGCAACAAAATTTTATCGCCCCCAGTGGGCCGGCTTATGTCGGGCGTCATGTTATCGTCAAGTGTCGCCAGCTCATCGCTGATAATTGTAACGCCCCCCATATCATCACGATTGGAGACGCCCAGCCAACTCCAAAACACTAAGCTAAGTGCTGGGGTCTCATAGATGCTGTTGAGTCTTACGGACCACTCGAACTTAATAATGATTTAATTACAGGCGTCAAGTGTGTGTCAAGTGTCACTGCAATCACATGCAAACGTTTTTGTGTGTGCCTTTTAACTAATATGGATACTAAAACTGCGGTCGCTGCATTAAATGCTGCGTCTGGTTTAGCTGTTAAAATATGTTTCTAAAATACTGCAATAATTCCCAAGTGGGTATTTTACACAGTAAATACAAGACTTGAAGTAGGCATATACAATTAAGCTATATCGGTTAGAATAAAGGTGCACGCTTTTAACAAGTTTTGGGAAATTTCATGCGCCAGGTCGGGAATTAAACGAAATATTAATATGCATAACTTTTTAAATTGAAATTGAATTAAAAGAAATTTTCAAACAACAATTTTTAAATATTTCAAATGAGACGTGTGTGTGTGAAGGTGTAAATTTCATTATTTTAAGTGGAACTACGACAACTATTTGATTAATTATATTTTTATCACGGGAAAAACACTTAAAATGGGCAAATTTCTTTATTTTAATTTCTTAATATAAATATAAGCTCAATAGATCAAAAAGAAGCTATCCAGTCATTTACACAGAATATTTTGGTAGTATTTATACTAGAGAATAAATATATTACCCAACAGATATTATATGAAATATATACATATTTTTCTAACTGTAGCTTCTAATAAAGTAGTTTTACTTACTGCTTGACTGGAAGATACTTCGCAATTGAATCGAGCATTGCTCTTTAAGTAGACATTTACCACTGGCATATTTACATATTTGTTTGAATATATAAAACTCATAATTTGGTAAATTTAAAATGCTTGTTTAGGGGATATCGCATAACCAAATAAAGAGTTCGTCATCTATAAAAGTTAAATTTTAGTAGCTTAAAAATTTCACTGTTACTTGACTAAAAGAAACGAGGGTAGCTCAAAGGATGATATGCAGTTTAGGTCCAAATATATATTTGGATATCACATTCACTAACAGGGAAATATTTTTATCTGCACTGTATTACTCTTATTTGCTGATATCCGTGATAACACAATTATTAAGCTTTAATTATCGTAAATAAGTATGTTTAATATTTAGCTTACGACAGACAATTGCAGCATGTGTGATGTATATTATATGATAGAAATGTTGATTTCACAAATGCGCTGCATATTTCACGGCTCTCTGACTCTCGGTTGAATGTGCGTGTTGCATGAATGGGTTTTAAACACTATTTTCAAATGATTCAAATCAAATGAGCTGTCAATTATTGTTATTTGTATTGTTGCCACATTTGGGCTGGCATTGTTGTTGTTTTCTCTGCTCATGTGGCTGCTGCCTTGGTGGGCATATTTAATTTTAATCTGTTATTTAACTATGGCCTGTTTTTGGTTTGGCTATTTAATTTGCAATATGAATTGCATGGATTTACGAGCATATTCAGCGGTCATTCAAACAGCATTCGAGCATTTGGAAACTAAATTGAAGCTCAATTTATATATTTCATTGTATTAGACTACAAAGCATAAAAAGCAAAGCTCATAAAATAATGGACAATTTAATTTGTTGGATAAGTTAATCTTGTTACTTTGCACTTTACAAAATATATCGAATTTTAATGTGGCTTACATTATTAGCAGAGATAACCAGGCTTTGATCGAATTTTCCCTGAATATTATATGATACGAAAAAAGAGCTATAGAGCATGCGATCATTTTTGTTTCTTTTGTTTTTAAACATATTGACCAGTTGACTGTAAAATGGTATGGAAAATGTATACAAAAGTAAAAAGAGTAAGAAATATCAAGTGGCCAACAAGCTACGCAACTTGGTTAATGTATTTCTAAAGAGTTTTCCATCATGTAAATTCACAACAGCTGCTGCTGCCTGCCGCACCCCGTTGTCATTCTTTAAAGTAAATATCATTAGCATTATGATGCTACGCAGCTTGAAGCTTTTTGCTATGTCACAGTTCACGCCAGCTGAGCCGATGTCCCCTACCAGCCGCGGCCGCCTCTTCCACTGCCCCTACCACTACTCATCGTTGCCATCATGAACAATGTTTACCTTACTTCATATGCACATTTACACACACAAACATGGAGCCTCACTCATACGCAACGTGGTACACATACAACCTGAGGACATGTTTTCATATCGAAAACTGAAAAGATAAGCAAACGATCAAACTACGAACTTAATACACACTATCTAAATATAATAATGTATATATACTACATTAACTATATATATACTATATTAACTGAATACTATTTGTATTCAAAGAAAAAACATTATTCAGACAATTTTCATATTTCTGTAGTATGTAGTATGTTGAACTTTAATTTTCTAATTTAGGATACCTTGGAATACTGGTCCAAGCTGGTCTAAAAACTAAAATTGATCATAATATTGGAAAGTTTCATATTATGTGGGCAAATGCTGTAATATATTTTCGGAGCTCAATGATAGGGTATATAAAATAATGAGAATATGCAGAGGAGACTAAAAGGCAACCAACGTTAACGCATTGAGTGAAAATCAACATGTGCACAAACACGCAGTTGGTTCTACTTGTAAATCTATTGCCTACTTGTAGGCGCAAATGTTTTTCATATACACAAATTACATAATGCATACATGTATTTATGTGTGTCTATGTGTGCATGCGTGTGTGCGTGTGTGTGTGTGTGTGTGTGTGTGTGTGTGTGTGTGTTTGTGTGCGAATGCGTTGTGTAAGTGTTGCAATTGAGTTTTCTAGCCCATGAAAAATTCATTTCAACTTTTCCATATTACTTAAAAGGCAGACGAGACCAGAGCACAGCCCAGCAACAGTCCATATATAGCTTAATTTTTCAATACCCTAAATAAAGGGTATAAATATTTTTGGGGATGATTTATTGAAAGGGAAATTAAAAGTACATTCTGAAATTAAAATGAAAACCAATGCATTCTGTTAGTCGAAAATCGACAAATGAAAATTTGTTAAAAAAAAATATATATATATACATAATAAAGTTTTCTTAAAAGGTTTAGGACAGTTTAATATAACCCACAGCACTTTATATAAGTTACGTTATTTATTATTATAATAAATCAATATTTCTTAAATGTTATTGAAACTAATTTAATTTTGTATTTGTCTTTTTATATATTATT